TTCCCCTAACCCGCGACAGTCGTTGTGCTCTCCCTCGAGCGAGAGCTGCTCGGGTGTGCCGTACTCTAGTTCCCGCGATTTCGTTTGAGCGTGGATCGATCGAGCGATGTCATGGCTCGCCGAACCCGAGCTTCTTCTCCTTTCCTCTGTCATTCGCTTTTGCGGCTCGCCTCTTCGATCTCCGCTTGGCGAGTCTCCAATCGAGGGTTTCCACCTGGCCGACGCTTCTCTTCCTCGAGGCCGAGCGTTCTTCTCATTTATGGTGTCGATTCTTTTCTCTCGCTCGATTGGTAGGCTAGGGCGGCAAACGATCGACATTCCTTTTCTTTTCTTTGCCTTTTGGCTTCCTGAGGATAGGGGGCTGTGTGAGAAAAAAAGGAGAAGTTTTTCTTTGGCTAAAAAAATAAGGGAGAGTGATTATTGAGAGAAGAGTTCTTTAGAAGAAATTCGGCATTTGCTTTCTTCCTCTTTCACGGTTAGCATACGGATCGACCCCTTTTGTTCGAAAGAACGAAAGAAGTTTTACTTCCTTTTACTTCCTCTCTGTCGTTCGAGGGATTTGCGGCTTGCAGAATTAAAAAATTGAGGAAGCTTTTGCGTAAGGCTTTTAGGAGAGATTTCTGTGGTGCTTTCTGCAATCTTATTTTAGAGCTTTGCTTTAAGTTTACACTAAAGAGGTATTTTTCTCCTCTCCTCTATTTTATATTATTTCGAATGACATGAAATCTGGAAGTCATTTCAAAAGTTGGAAAAACATGTTTGGGCTTATATTTTCGTTCCTATTTGCTGCCTCTGTTGTTGGAATACATGCTGAAGTCATTTCAAAAGTTGAAAAAACATGTTTGGGCTTATTTTTGTTCCTATTTATTGCCCCGGTTGTTGGAATACATGCTGAAGTCGTTTCAAAAGTTGAAAAAAAAAAATTTGGGCTTATATTTTCGTTCCTATTTGCTGCCTCTGCTGTTGGAATACATGTTGAAGTCATTTCAAAAGTTGAAAAAACATGTTTGGACTTTTTTTTTGTTCCTATTTGTGCCCCGGTTGTTGGAATACATGCTGAAGTCGTTTCAAAAGTTGAAAAAAAAAAATTTGGGCTTATATTTTCGTTCCTATTTGCTGCCTCTGTTGTTGGAATACATGCTGAAGTCATTTCAAAAGTTGAAAAAACATGTTTGGACTTATTTTTTTTTGTTCCTATTTGCTGCCCCTGTTGTTGGAATGCAAGCTGAAGTCATTTCGAAAGTTGAAAAAACATGTTTGGGCTTATTTTTGTTCCTATTTGCTGCCCCCGGTGGTTGGAATACATGCTAAAGTCATTTCAAAAGTTGAAAAAACATGTTTGGGCTTATTTTTGTTCCTATTTGCTGCCCCCGGTTGTTGGAATACATGCTGAAGTCATTTCAAAAGTTGGAAAAACATGTTTGGGCTTATATTTTTGTTCATATTTGTTGCCCATGTTGTTGGAACATATGCTGAAATATTTCTTAATGTTGAAAATTATATTTGGGGCTTATCTTGCTTCCTTTATTGCCCCGGTTGTTGGAATACATACTGAAGTCATTTCGAAAGTTGAAAAAACATGTTTGGGCTTATTTTTGTTCCTATTTGCTGCCCCCGGTGATTGGAATACATGCTAAAGTCATTTCAAAAGTTGAAAAAACATGTTTGGGCTTATTTTTGTTCCTATTTGCTGCCCCCGGTTGTTGGAATACATGCTGAAGTCATTTCGAAAGTTGAAAAAACATGTTTGGGCTTATTTTTGTTCCTATTTGCTGCCCCTGTTGTTGGAACATACGTTGAAATATTTCTTAATGCTGGAAATTATATTTGCGACATATCTTGCTTTCTTTATTGCCCCGGTTGTTGGAATACATGCTGAAGTCATTTCAAAAGTTGGAAAATCATGTTTTTGGGCTCAATTTTGCCTTCTTGTGGGAGGAAAGGGCTTGGTTATGGCTTCATGAAATTTTGTTTAAAAGACCCTATTTTAGTTCATTTAATGAGATCGGATTTAACTTCTTATTGGATTAAATGTTGGCTGAAAATATACCTATATTAAATGGAGATTTGGCTTTGATTCTTTTAGGGTTTTTCTGCCTTCATTTTTTAGCTGAATTGATTGGCTCGGTTTGGGGTTTTCTGCCTTCATTTTTGAGTTGAATTAATTGGCTCGATTTGGAATTTTCCGCCTTCGTTTTTTGAGTTGGATTAACTGGCTCAGTTCGGGATTTCCTACCATTGTTTTAAAGCTGGTTTATTTGGGGCTGGTTTGGTGGCATTTTATCTCTCTTTTTGGCTTTACCCGTGAGCTTGTTTGGGTTTGTTTGGAGCTGGTTTGGCGACTTGTGAAATAAAAAAAAAGTTTATATAATTTCATTTTGAAGAAAGTATGAGATTGATATAAATTTAATTCAATAGGGGTTTAGAAATGCGCAAAATTGACATTTGGAAAGGATATCCTCCTTGGGATTGATCCGATCATTTTCCTTTTAACGAATTTAAATGTTTTAGACCGATACATTCATGAGTTTTATTGATTTAACTTGATTTAAAAAAAAAAATAGATCAGTCTACTTTTCCGTTCTTTTTTTTTTTTAACGGTCAAGTTAAAAATGAGAATTTCCGATTTAATTATATTCAGAAATGATTTATAATCTCAAGAGAAAATGAGAGAAAATTAAAATTGAAATTTGAATTTTTTGGATGATAAAATCTAAAGAGGAGATAGAGTAACGAACAATCCGTTTTTTTTCTTTTACATAAGGAAAAGTGAATTACAAATTGGAAGACTAGTTGGAATCGGAAGAAATGAGAATTTAGATAACGATTGAGAGATTAGTGGATTTACACTGAGATCCCTTAAGCTTTGAATCAATCTAAAATCTAATTCCTTTAACTGGAATTGAAGCTCAACTCACAACTATTTTGCCAAAACTATGAGTTTACCCCTAGGTTTTAGAAGTCTGATAGCGAACTAAACTGGATCTATAGATGTTTGAGGGTTAGTGGAAAGACACTTGATTGATATTAGACACTTTCGGACACTTCAAGTTTAAACTAAAGTGCAGGCATCCTAGATCTTAAGAGCACAACTTAAGAGATAGTTTATCATCCTAATTTTCGAATGACCCTAAGAAATCCAATCATCTAACCTCAGTTTAGGAGATAAGTAGGACACTAGGCACGAGGGTGCACTAAATTGTGATTCATGACTGATTTAATTAAATCAAATAATGAAATTCTTACCTTAACTTGACCAAAACTGAAATCCAATGCTCCGGAATTTGAGTTTGTCCTACACTCAAATCCTCCTAGCAATTCGGGACATTTCAATATCACATATAAATTTTCTATTTAAATTTCCTATTCTTGGTCCTTTATATGTGATGTTGTATTTTATTTCATTTGTTTGTCTTTTTCTTATGATTTACCTGTTTCTGTTAAGTCTTTTTCAGGTCATACTTTCCTCTTTTATACAGCGCATAATAGCTAAATTTAAAGGAGCAATGAACCTACCAGGTGTACATGTTTAATTTATATTACAGCATTTTATTTTTCTAGCATGTTATATTATTTTTATATCCTGTTATACTATTTATAGAATGTTATACTCTTCTTTCAGCATGTTATACTGTCTTTCCTCTTTACTGTACAGTATATTGTTACTTTTCTTTCACACTGCATGTTTTATTGCTTATTTTTTTTGTACTATGTCTTAGTATAGAATAACCTAGTGGTTATGTATATTTTCAAAACTAAAACTAAACCAGGAGGTGCTACTACGAGAGGCTCGGAGCAAACATCGTGGTCAGCATGGCAAGGGATAACTTCAAGACGAATCTGCAGCAGCAAAACACATTCACATCACCCATCACTTTCTTTAGTTTAAATAACAACCCACAGGATCTTTTCTTTAGGCTTTTTGCACAACTCTGTTGTGTAATTATAAGTCCTAACGCTTTAGGATTCTGAGGTTACCATGCGGTACGGTGTAAATCCTCTTATCTTTTTAGGTTATTTGCACAGTTCGATATTGTGTAAACATAAATCCTAAATCTTAAATAATTTGCAGGATTGAAATATCAAATAAGTATCACTTCAAAGACATAAAATCGAACATTAGGATAGTTGGGACATTCCCAGGGTTTCTCCTGGATCTATGATATCTCCTACTTTTCTTCTCTTTGGATTCCTTAAATAACTGTTCCTATTTTGAGTCATTCTCATTTGATTTTCCCATGTACAATCGTGAAAACCTAAACTTTGAAATCTTGAAAGCAAAACCACATGATCTTAATCGAGAGTTTTTTTAAATGATTTCGATCATTTAAGATGTAATTAACTATCGGGGATTGCCTCTATAGGGAACCTGGAACCTAGATAAAATAAACCCTATCTAATTTTTTATGTTAGGTAGGGGAACTTGTTGGCCTTTTTATAAAAATATTTCGTAGACTAAAACGGATGTCACGAATTCTTTAGTCTAGGTGATTGAATCTCTATTACAAGTGATATATTTATTCTTCGGGATAAGTGTATTACTTGTAGTATTGTATTCAATCATCTAAACTATTTAAAATGTGAGACCCGTTTGGTCTCACTTATTTTAAAATTAAAATGTTACATTTAAAAAAATCAAAAAGGTTATATTTATATTTAAATTATTTTGAAAATCACAAAATCATTCACTTTTCCAAACTAACGAAAGTTAAATAAAACGGCCGACAACGTTTTAACTAAATTCAAAACTCCAATTCATGTCCTTCGGATCGATAATGGTTGTAAATTTTTTAACTCTATTTTGAGTAAATTCTTGATGAGTAAAGACATCCTTCACCATAAATCGTGTGGACACTCATCAACAAAATGAGGTAGCAAAGAGAAAAAATCGTCACCCCCTCGACGTTGCTCACCCTTTTATGTTTCAATCTAATGTCACGAAATGGTTTTAGAACGATGTCATTGTGATTGCCACCTATCTCATTAATAGAGTCTCCTCTAAAATTCACAAATTCTGAAGCATCTTAACCGTCGTGATGTCATGCTTCCCTTCCAATAGGGTCTTCTCCACATTAGATCCAAAAATTTTTTGGTTGCATTGCCTTTTTTCAGTACATTGCCATCACTCAGAGTAAACTTGATCCCAGATCCATAAAATGTATCTTCCTAGAATACTCTGCCACTAAAAAGGGATATCAGTGTCTTGATCCTAACACAAATAAAATCTATGTGAATGTTGATGTTTCCTTCTTTGAAAGTATTGCACATTTTCCTAGCTCGGCCAAAAGTGAGGGGGAGCTTGAGTTTTTAGACACGCACCCTTATCCTAATCATATGGATGTTCCCCCCATTGTTTGTGCCCTGTTTCGTTGAGTGCACCATCTCCCTCTCCCACTATCTGTGTCTACACTCGACACACATGTCCCAATGCTCCTACTCTAGAGCACATTACCCCTTACAGAATCTTGACTCTACTCCAGGCAACATCCTCATTACAATCCCTCCTCCGAATGAGGAGGTGAGTTCTCCGAGTAAGGCACGCAACCAGATATGCTCCCTCTATTTTATGTCAAAATATGTCTCATTCCATAGGTTACAGAACATTTGCTACTGCCCTGACGAACGACCAGATCTCGGCTACTATTGAGGTTGCTCTTGCTGATCCAGCTTAGAAAACAACAGTAATGGAGGAGATGAATGCCCTTTAGCAGAACTATATGTGGGATGTCGTGGACCATCCTCGGGGTAAGAAAGTTGTATGGTGCTGATGTATTTTTAGCACCAAGTTCAATTGTGACAGATCATTTGAAAAGAAAGTTTAGATGTTAAATGTGTGAATACATAAGAATTGGGCTGTATGTATGTAAATGGCCCATATACATGTATATACAGCCAAATAAATGCATTTATATATACCTGGACATAGGATCGTTATCGCAACCCAAGAAAATTCTACTTCGTAATTTCTTTTTCATGATTGCAATAGCCAGAGAGGCAGCATCCTGTTATTCAGAAAATAAGACCAGAAAGGTTCAAAACTATAACTTTAAATTCAAATAAAATAAAAAAAAGATAAGAAAAATGGAATATCAGCTTAAATTTATCACCTCATAGTGAATGAGATTGAGAATACCGTCTGGATGAATATCAACTGTGCCTTTCTTTAGATAATAAAAATGAGCACCTCTATCAGCATTTTGTTCATGGTCAAGAAAGTGCAAAGCAAAATGGAATATGGTGCCTCATCAAACATTAATGAAAATTGCAGTTAGAAATAAACTTAGGGCCCGTTTGAGATTGCTTTTATTTTTTGTTTTTTATTATTTATTTTTATTTTATTTTATTTATGTTTAATTTAATTTTAAACATGTTTAATTGAGGTAAAATATCTTTAAAAACACTTGGAAATTTTTAGAAATTTTAAGTGTTTTTAAGAAAAATTAAATTTATTTTAAAAAAATAAAATATATAAAAATTATATCGATCAAATATATTTTCAAAAATAAAAGAAAAAATAAAAATGATAGTAAATGGGCCTTTAGTTTTACTCAAGAATTTGTAAGTGTTAAAAAAAGGATATATAAAGTCCAGCCAATCTCAGGACACAACCACCAGCATCCAGGACTGCATTTTCTGCTTTCAGAAGAACATCTGTGCGAGGACTTCTACCGAGTGGTACTACAGGGTAGTCCTACAGAATGAAATCAATAAAGATGATTAATTTTTTCATCACATTAGCATAAGAACGCTTTAAGAAAGGTTCCAATAAGAAAAATACATAGGAATTGGGTGGTCCGTATGTAAAAATTGAAGCTTGGGTGATTGATATGTTAATACATTGAAATTAGGTGGTATGTAAAGGCCCCAAAGGTAAAGAGAAATTTACATACCTACCACCTAATTCCTATGTATTAACATATCAATCACCTAAACATCAACTCGGGCACCAAATTTATGCCAAAAACATAAAAATCGGGTGTTCTGTATGTACATATTGAAGTTTGAGTTTTAATACATAGGGATTGGTAGGTACGTATGCCCAAACGTAAAAAATAATGAAAAACTGCAGCTAATTTAGAAGATGTTATCATACTTGAATATAGTGTCCACGTTGAATACAATTTTCAACCCTTTTGTCATTTGCATGCATGAAGTTCTCCCTTTGCCACTAAAACTAAAATTTATGGTCCAAAATTAGCTTTTTTTTTTTTATCAAAGAAGAGTAATTCTCCCATATCATGAATTTTCATAATTCTTTTCCTTAATATAATACAAAAATGAGATCAAGAGTAGTATTCCGGCCTAAATACATTCACGTTAACATCCCGGGCATGATTACAATTAGGTAACTCCTTCCATCCACCATCTTTCAAAAACATCCCCGCTTGCAAAGAGATCATGATCAAACAATAAATTTTCCAAGGCTTTCTGCTTATATGAGGAATTTCAGGGAAAAAAAATCCAGGAAATCCCAACTCCACGTATGTTCTGCGGTAGACTCCTACTTGGTGAGTCATAGTCATGACATCAAAATAGCAATAATGATATAAAGACAACTCATTTTTACCTTGATTCGTGAAACATGTTACTTCTTGCGGCAATGTTCATAACCAGTTCATTTTTTTTTTTTCAATAAAAAAGTTCGGCTAAAGATATTCTTTTGGCTAAAATTGCATGGCTGAAATTAGCTCAGAGTTTATAAAAGTGCTAAATTAGCCCGGTCTTTTATATTGGCTCATTTCGTCTCTGAGTTTATAAAAATGCTAAATTAGTACCCGGACCCTTTTAATAAGATTAACATAGTCCTCAATGTGCACCATTTCAACCCATATTAAAAAAGACTGGCGATTAAATTGAGATGTTTATAAACTCTGGGACTGAAATAACTCCCGACAAAATGTTAGGGGACAATTTTCACACTTTTCTCAAAAAGAAATTGACACAAGAAATTCATTAAATGATTTTGATCTGAAATGGTTCAAAGATATAAATAAGGTTAGCTCACAGTGCTGTATTTTTGTCTGGGTCCTTCGTGTTGGCATACCATTCCTCAGCCTAATTAAACTTCCCAAACTTAATTTTAGCAAGTATATCATTTCTCTAATGTATAAGGTTGCAGGCAGCAATAGAAAATATGCTATAACCCATTGAATTTTTTTCATGAAGAGGAGTGAGAACAATAATGTTACACAAATGATGTATGGAGACACTTCTTAAATACCACCCAATTCCTATCTATTTACATATCTAACACCTAAATTTTACTTCTTACATTCCTAGCACACAAATACGCCATATCACATAAAAACACCGTTTTTACATTTTCCTAAAAAAAAAAATTGACAAGAGAAAATGCATTTGATCTAAAATGGTTCGAAGGTACATTTGAAGTTAGCTCACATCGCTGTATTTTTGTCATGGTCCTTGGTTTTGGCACACCAATCCTCTGCCTAAATATTAAACATAATTTTATCAAGTATATAAGGACCATTTCTCTAATCTGTGAGGTTGCAGGCAGCAAGAGAAAACAGGCAATAACCGATCGATTTTTTGTGTGAAGGGCGGTAAGAACAATAATGTTACACAAACAATGCATGTAAACATTTTTATAATACCACACAATTCCAGTGTATTTACATATCACGTAAATTTTACTTCTCACGTTTCTACCATACAAATACGTTATATCACATCAAGAATACAATCATTTAAACTTTTAAAATGTGTAATACATCTTTTCATGCATAAGTAAGGTGGTAAGCACGTAAAAATTGAAGTTCAAGTGTTAGATATGTAAATATATAAGAATTGAGCGGTATGTGTGTAAATCTTCCAAAAAAAAATAATATCAGAAGATCAACGATACAAGGCAGAAATTGCACCTCATCGCACAGTGCTTCATCATTGCAGTCATATACAGCAGTGCTTGATGTGAATAGAAAAGAACCTTTGCCACTCCAATTTGATATGGCCAGTCTGCGTAATAATTTTAACTCAATTTGAGTCAAACACATGCTTTTGTGAAATTCATACACCCAAACAAGCTCTCTCAACTAAATAAAATAAGCTTGCCTAAAGCTTAACAATGTAAGTATTATCCATGTAGCCATCAAATACCATCTTGAGTTGAAATAATTCTTTTTTTTAAGTTCAAACTAGAATCAAGGGCAGTTTGGTTGTAAGTATTTATGATGAATCCGTATTTAGAATGTACTGTAGATCAAATACATCGCACTTTGAGTTTGAGATTTATTTGGTTAATTGTAAAAATACAAGTGGTATGTATGTAAATTATATATATATATATATATATATAATTTTTTATTTTTTAATTTTTATTATTATTATTTTTTTTGTTTGATTGGCTATAAACTAAAATCAATTATAGGGCACAAACTTGCTGACAAGAGAGAAAAACTACTACTGTTAACAGCATCGGCACATTAGCTTCCATTGAATCTCGAAAGTAAAATTAAAGAGGAGTTATTTGTTTGCACTCAACAATATAAATCATACTATTTTTATCAATGAAAATTAGACAAATAATAAAGTGTAATTCAAAAAAACTGAAATTCTAAAAATAACATTACCGAACATCAGCAGGGTAATCTGCAGTTCTAGATGGAGGAGCACAAAAAATAATATTAGAATACTCCCCATCACTTTTTCCTTTCAAAGATGGTTTAATACCAAGCTTCACCAATTCATCATGATGTTCTGTAGTCATTGTCTGTCCAAAAATATGGCTGCCAGGGTAATCCTGTTCAAAGGAAAAAATGGAAGTTCCCATCACTGAAGCACCATATGAGCTTTTTATAATAGGAAGATTTACATACAAACCATTCAATTTCTAAGTATTTACATATCTAACACAAAATTCAATTTTTACATACATGCAGCATTACCTATGCCTGAAAGGTGCATTTCACTTTTAAAAATTAAAATGGTGGAATTTTTTATGTGACATGAAAATTTGGATAATATGAATGTAAAAAAATAAAGTTTAGGTGTTAGATAGAATTAGGTGGTATGTATGTAAATGCCCCTTTATGATATTACATGATAAATGAAAAAACAATTTTAAACAAAAAAAAAACTACTCCCAACCATGGAAATCGCTACCATTTGATGAATGGCGAACAAGCAAGTACAAGGTTCTCGCTTGATTGTAGAATTTAATTGAGAATTAATACAAGGCTACAAAGTCAGGTAAATTAGAGGGCCCAAGGATAATCAAGAGTTTCGAACATAATTTTTATTGGTATGGGTTAAATTAGTGTGAAAAGGCCACAATTGGTCGACCAAAGTGAATAGTATGTACAAGCCTATAAAATTGAGACTCAGTCGTGGTTGCGATCACTTTTATTTTTTGTTTTGCAATTTTTTTATTTTTATTTTATTTGTATTTGTATTTTGATTTAAATTAAAATATATTTGATTAGCTAGTTATTGTTAAAAACACTCAAAACATCTTATAGATATTTTGATTGCTTTAAAAATAAATAAATAACAAATTGATTTTTTTTTAAGCAAAAAAAAATGAAAACATATAAAATTTATACTAACCAAATATACCTTCAAAAATAAAAGAAAAAATGATGTCAAACGGACCTTTAATATTACCTCAAACAGTCTTAAAAGAATATGAACTAGATCCCATGCAATAAAGAAAGTCTGCCAACATCTCAACATCTCAACATCTCAAATAATATTGTCAAACATTACAAATCAATGGCAACATACATGAGAAATTCACACTGGAAGAAGCAGCAAGCTAAGCTATAGTTTTCCTATTCTGGCTTATATTTCCAATTGAGGTAACTTATTTTTCTTCCCCTATAACTACAGCACCAGTACATACACATTGGGCTTCTAAAAACTTGCAAATTTCTGCACGCTTGTTTGGCAATATTTTGAGTGTGTGCGTTGTTGGGTGCGGGTGTGGAGTATTTATGCAGTTGGTAGAAAAAATTGCACAGTTCAACGGTCCCATTTTCTGAACTAAAACATATACTAAACAATAGCAATCAAACCTTCAGCCATTTTTCAGCGACCAATTTTCCAAGTACGCCTGGCCCAACAATTAACAAACCACTTTCACCCATGAAACTGGGCGATGAAGTTTTTGAAACTATGCTGCTGGAAGTGCCTGCAAAAGAACCTACCAAATCATTATTAATAATGAAATTGCTAAAACAAACTGCAATTAACTTTGAGTTCAAGCAATGATAGAGAAAAAGGAACAGTCATGACAACCATGAAAAAATAAATGCTAAAAAGATACAAAAATAATCACTAACTAAAACCAACCTTATGTTTTATTTCAAGGATGGTTTACATAAATACCACTCAATTCGTATGTATTTACATATCTAACACCTAAACTTCAATATTTATGTACATGCTACCTAAGCATGTGTGAAGCCCCTCAAGTAGAATTAAGTTGAACTCTTAAACATCAAGATGTCTTCTGGCGTAATAGTTGGAGTTTAAACAAAAACTACAAAGTTAAGCGTGCTCATGCCAGAGCACTCCTATGATGGGTGACCTCCTAGGAAGTTACACTAATGGGACAAAACCATGAGACCAAAGCGAACAATATCTCGATGGCTGAGAGTTCGGACTCTTCTAGCATAAAAAGGTGGATTTCACTTTTAAAAGTTAAAATAGTGGCATTCTTTATGTGATGTGAAAGAATTGGGTGGTATAAAAGTAAAAAATAAAGTTTGGATGTTAGATTTGTAAATATAAAAGATTTGGGTTGTATATATATAAATGCCCCTAATTTCTAACATTCTCCTACTAAACTATAGTTGACTTTTATGGCAAGCTATTTTGTTTATTCATGGTATGTTGGTATGAGTTTTAAAATTGAAAGAAATTTATTTAAGACTAAAGTGCACATCCATTTTATCATGTTGAATAAAAAAATACAAATCCCTTCCAACAGTCAAGGGCATTATTTTCCAAAGAGAAAAACAAACATAAAGCCTTAATAAGACATTTTCTCAAAAATCAACACATTGAAATCAATAATATGCTACAGAAAAGCTGCATATCTAGTTCATAAAAATGGCATATAACGACTAGGATTAAGAGAAAATGCATTATATAATAAGATAGCGGATAAATTGCACTTTTTTAAATATATCAATCAACAAAATAATAAGAAGAATATACAATAGTGTGCATGTCAGATTCGAGTGTTCACTTTGCCCTAAATAAAATAATGTGACACGTCATTCTTGCACCTAATCCTAACCGTCCATCTATCACAAATATCCTTTCATCAAGCCTAAATGGATCAAACACTTTGAACCAATCGACACGAGTTGTTTATCACCTTGCAGAACACGGTGACTAACTAGGCTTATCCGTAGCCATTCACTCTAATCCGACCACCTCAACCTAACAATTTAAGTAGATGGCCTTCCATAACTACCACAATAGCATACCCAAGTGATTTTCCTAAAAGTTTTCCATACAATCAAAAGACAAAATGGCGGTCACACCAAAAACCTAACAGAATAGTGGGTGATTCATGAATGCTCATAAGAGATGTAGTGAATTTCACATTGTATATGTAGGCAAAGACCATTGAACAACTAAAACCTTGCATTTTTTTGTTAAGCATTATTTTATCATTTTCTTTAAGCACTTAAATCATGTGACTAGTAGTCCTGCAAAAACTCAATTTAATTTATTTCGCATGACCAAGGTTAAACCGTGATTGAGCATGCACTGATGCTATTCACCAATTAGCACATATCTAATTACATTTGCATAAATCAAATTAAAAATAGGATAAAAATAATACAATAAATTAACTAAATTTATTAATTAGGGTTTCTATAATTTAGAATAAAAATGCAAATATGGTAAACTAATTTCAAGAGAATTTTACCCGGACAACGGATTTGTAATTATGGATGTGCATCTTAAAAAGTAAAATGATCAAAAGAAAAAATTTTCCCAAGAATATTAATCTTCCAAAATGGGAGATAGTAAATTGGAATTCATAGTTTAACAGAACTTTATTTAAAATAAGATAGCTACTTAAATTAAGAAAATTTATATACAAGTTTTGAAATCATAAATAAATAACCTTGGTGTTGGGTGGAAAGTGACAAAATTTGAAGAAGGAGAAAAATGTCCTTCTAATGATTAAGGAATAAATCCTATTGAGGCTAAAAATGATTGTAAGGAAACTACAAGTTTTACAAAGAGAATAGCAGACTAAAAATTTTAATGGAAAGTACAAGTTTTACAAAGAGAATAGCAGACTAAAAATTTTAATGTTTAACGTAATAAACTAAGTATCGAGTACAAAATGAGATATATAATATTACATGCAAAACTTATTAAAGGACTCTGCCCAGGTTAGATGAATTAGAAGCAAATATAAATAAAATCTTAAATAAATATGAAGACGTCAATGAAAGATGGAAATAGCATTTTGAAAAATTATTGGTGTGAATGTTAGGGGTGAAATCCACATAAAAGAGCTCAATGAAAGCAAAAATGAAGTATAATTTAGATTAATCCAAGAGAAATAAGCTAATCATCCATCAAATCCTTAAAAATAGAAGTACATAATTTGCTAATAAATTGTTGGACATTATTTTGGTTAAAAACAGCTACTACAGTTTTTAGGAACACTAAACTATGTAGCCGATTTTTATAAAAATTTAGTCATAGATGCAACATCATTATTTGAAAAATTAAAAAAGAATTCACGGTGGAAAGATATCCATAATGAAGCCATTCAAAAAATGAAACATGGGAAAAATTTTACATTGCTAAACCTGCCTAATTCTAAAGATATTTAGAATAGTTGAAATTGATGCTTTGAATATAGGATACTTTGGTATCCTTAAACAACAATATTTACCTTAAGAGAATGAAACCCTACTCAAATAAATACTTTGTGATTAAACAAGAAATGTTAATCATCATAATATATATAACCAAATTTCAAGATAAATTTCTTAATAAAAAAATTTTACTTCGAAAAACAACAGTTAAATCTATCATAAAAAAAGTTGTTTATAGTTTAATTTATAAACAAATATTTGTTATTTGGCAAACGCAATTATTTATTATGGACTCAAATATTAGATATATTACTAATAAAATAATTATATACTTGACTTTCTAACTAATAAATTTTCATAAGGAGAATCATGGGTGGATTGACCCAAAAGAGAAAGTCCCCATGGATTCCCCTAATAGAGGAGGTCGTGGAGGTAATCCTTCACGAGAGGGAGAAGAGTACGGATTCCCCTAATAGAGGAGGTCGTGGAGGTAATCCGTATAAGGAGAAAATTACTCTCATGAAGGTCAATTTGACCTTCGAGAATATATATACAGGATTTTTGTTTATTTACAACTATTTATTTTTGTTTATTTTGTTTTAAACAACTAGGTATAAATGAGATCAGAGCTATATCAGGTTAATTTGTTCAAAATAATTAAATCAATAAACTAAATTATCCCAAAAAATCAATACAACGGTATTATTATTCTAAAACTGCCCTCAAGATCTTCTTTTTGAGAAAACCGTTGTTAGATATCAGCATGTTTACGATGAATCCTAAATCTATGATGAATTATAAAGGGCTAATTTAAACATCAAATCTAATAAACTCTACATAGAATGATAATATACTTTATGATAGCACAAATTAGGCATAATTTTGCTACACATGTAGCCAAAATAATTATATAGAGATTCAATAAAATTTTAAAAGTTTGGTAGAATAGTTGTTTTACCCAAACTATAAAAAAAAATATTTGTTTGATGAAACAAATCTTGAAGACATTAAATTTTTTGATATGGAAACTATCTATACTTTAATTTGTATCATCCTAAAGCAATTCATTGGATTGGTACCCGATCATGACAAATAAATCAAATCATTATTACAAAAACTTATATGTCCAACTTTAAGCTACTTAAGATGGTATAAAGATATTCTCCTAAGAAATAAAACTCGAAGATGCGGAACATTATCATTGAAAATAAAACTTTATAGAATGACTATCTAGTATTTTTGTTAAAAAGGCACTTAATGATCCACAAACAAGAGCAATTCTTTGTGAAATCCTTACATATAATAGATATGTAAAGACCTATATTCAAACTAGACTAGATCAAATCAAACTCAATCAACAGCTTAAGAGATGAATAATTTTAGAAAGATGACAACTAGTGATTTTTACAAATAATCGCATGTGATATTTCAATAAAGAAATATATCATAAATAAATAAATAACCTTCAAACAAATTCAATAAAAAAAAATTTCGATAAAAAATAGAAATATCTGCAAACTTCTTTCTCCTTTCCTACAAATTCTAAGAAAAAAATTAAGGAAAAAATTTTCAAAAATTAATTAATATAAGTGCGATCATATCGGCCATCATGCTAATAAATGTAATGTCAATAACAAATTGAATTACCAAAAAATTGATGAAGGATTAAGACAAACTCTTACAAAAATTATTTAAACTGACTCTAAATCATCAAAATCGGAAGAATTCAATACCCATTCCTCTAAAAATTCATAAAATAAAGCTTGTTGTAATAATTTTAAATAAACATAATATTATAAAAGCATAATAAAAATGTCATAGTTACTCACTCTAACAAATAATCAAAAGAACATCCAGTTATTAATTATAAACCACTAAACCAAATTTTTAAATAGATAAGTTATCCAATCTCTAATACAAGTTCAATGAAATTTTTCTTAATGGATGGATGCATGAATAGCATTAAGAAAACATTAGAATTTACATATTGAATTTTAACTTTACTGATACTTTATGGAAAATAATTTATATTGACTTAAAACTCAAGCGAGTTTTGATTTTCAAGATAATTAGTTAGCCTAGAGCCATCATCATCAAGGAGATATCGAACAAATAGTTTGAAAAGAATATGGGATTTAGGAGAGTGCTAATTGACTTCTAAAACTTTACTTCATCTCTAGAGTTCTCCACTAAAGCAACTTTAGGATTATCCTTAAAAAAAAAAAATAATGTTGTCGAACATAAATTAGAACAAGGAAAGATATATAAAATAGCAGTTTAGCCCAAAGCATTTGATGAATCTTGGCATATATGAAATCTAAATGTCTTGAAGATGTCATCAATGGAGCCCTCTTGGAAGCGCGTAAATGAAAGGATTTGGGAAGGCTAGCCATCTTCAAAAGCTCCACAAAAAAGACATCCTATTCTGAATACAAGTCCTTATTTCCAAATGAGAAAATATATACTGCAGAAAAATGATAAAGGTTCCACATAGAATGTCGGATGAAGGTTTACTTTCTATACTATTTGAAACTTTAAAGAGGCGCAAGTCTAAGGGAACTAATGCAGGTCCTAATAGTGGATCATCTTTTCAGAAGTAATAAGGATTGTTGGATGTTGGATCACAGTAATCAATTTATTGATGTGATGGAATCCCTCAGGTAAGTTTTTTATCAAGGATGCCTTAGAAATGAAACCTTTTTGTTGGAGTTAGCAAGCTTGGCATTCATCCGATGGCTGTGAAAGCAAACATTGTTTCCAAGTTATCTTGCTTAGTAAAAAAATGTCTATAATATAGTGTTTCCATGATCAAATTGCAACAAATTGAAGTTATTGTGGCTTCCTTGGAAACATCTATAATGACTATCTACTAATGTCTATAAATACTCCCTTCATAGGCTATGGAGTGCTCTTTTCTTTCTCAGAGAAGGAATTTCTGAACCCCATCTCATGATAAAAAATTCTGAAGGGAAATCAAACAGAGAAATATATAGAGACTAATAAAGCTTATTTCAACGATCTCTAAAAACCTAATTCTTGTACTTCCGCATCTAATCCTAAAATATTGACAAATATCATCTTCATCAGGATCAATTTCCAATCCTTCTTTTTTTTCCTGAATGCTCATAGTAATTCCAATTAGCATTTTCTTAACTCATATAAACAACGGTGAATACAACATGTGAGAATATTAATAAATTCATAGTTTCTGAACAAAAAATTTAAAGCCCAACCAAATCATTTCCCAAACGATGATCTATTAATGAAATAATCATAACCGGACGTATAATTATACCTTCTAGATCTAAAACCTCAACAAATTTCTGGTGACAATCTCACACTGTCGCTAAATACTATAATGTATCACGGAGGCGAATGAATTGTTGGTTTCACAGAAATTGAAGCAGCAAAGAGGCGAGCAGTGGTAACCTATAGCATGAGAGGCGGCGGGCAAAGGTCGGGAAGGCAGAGCTATCAGCCTGAGCCGACGGTCCCCAACGACGGAGTGACAGTTTCCGTAGCGAACGAGTACAGATTCCGGTAACAGCGACAAGGCGCGAGACGACGAGCTGCAGGAGAACAGGGATAATCCGTGTGGCGGCGCGCGTGTTGCAGTAAAAGGCATGGCAGAACACTGCTCGAAAGAAGAATGTGGAGCTTTTTCCGCCCTGACCAATAAAATTTTATCCACTTGTCCACGTAGAGTACCCCCACATATGTCGAGGAAGACATTCAAAAATACTCTCAGGTGTTTTTTCTTCAACATTTTCGCTGCTCGTTCGTTTCCCTCGTTCGCTAGCTTCGAAGTCGTGAGACGATGGCGTTTGATGATCCGGAGTATGCGCAGGCCGAAGAGAGCTCAAGAACAGTATCAGAATAGGTTGAGAAAACAGAGGTTGAGCAGCCAATGAAGTCAAAGAAGCAGAGGAAGAAGAAGGAGGCGAAGAGGATGAAGGAGGGCATAGAAGGGAAAACTTGTCCTGGTATTTGTCATCATTTTATTCTCAGGTTGTTTTTAGGTTATTAGTTTGATTATTATTGGGTTATTCTTGAGTTACTCTGAAGCGTAATACTTATTGACAGCTATTCCATGTTATTCATGTGTTATTTTTAAATTATTTCGTAGGTTATTTGTAAGTTAGGCGTATCTTATTCACTGGTTAAACCTATGTTATTTTTAGGTTATTTTTCAGGTTATTCGTAGGTTATTTTTGGGTTATTTTTAAGTTAACTCGTGGGTTATTTTTAGTTTATTCTCACGTTATTCCTGGATTATTTTTAGTATATAGTTTTGTTAATTTTGAAGTGATGCGTAGGTTATTTTTAAGTTATGAACAAGTTATTACTAGGTTATTCCTGACTGATTTTGATGATATAACGTACAAATAACCTACGAATAATCTGACATAACCTAAAAATATCATAGGAATAACCTATGAATAACCTGTGAACCTGAGTTATTTTTAGGTTATTTTTAGGTTATTTTTTTAGGTTATATCAGGTTATTTGTAGGTTATTTGAACGTTATTTTTAGTGTATTGTTTTGTTAATTCT